CCTCCTTCCCCTCTAACAAACAGATGCTTGCACAAATCACTGTTGGCTTGTATCAAGGCTGGTAAACCATAAAGATCCAGTCCTCTTCTAAACTCGTTAAGGTAAATTAATCTTTTACTTACAGGGCTGATCATCACGGTACCAATGATATCATCGACATGATCTTTGTCAATGTTTCCCGCATATTCATGTTCCAAGATTACGTCCTGCAAGGATGTTGGATCATTTTTTATCCCTTCAAGTAGTGCCTGTTCGTGACAAGTTAAATGCTTTTCGGGAATCAGAGCATTCATGTTAACATTACTGCCAACAAGCATGTCATAAACAGAATCTTCAAGGAAACAGGGAGGGGGTCCTCCTTGAGCAATACTTGTTGCAACGATTTGTCCACATGCATGGAAAGTGCCATTGTGCACATAAAGCAACGATTTTGTGGGGCTACCGTTCGGGAAAATATTTTTTCCAATTTCACTTACTACAGACGTGAAGAATTCCTTTGCAATCGCTCCATTATCGATTCCATTCTCACCAGCAAAATGCACCATCACTCGATGCTTGGGACATTTTTTCCTTGCTTCGCGTTGCCAGATGGTCAGTTGGCGTTGTAAAGTGCTTCCCCTCCTGATAACAAAAAAAAAACTGTTCAGATTGATCAACTTCCTCGGGCAAGTCTTTCACAATGTCAACAATATTTTGGTAATTCCTATTTTCTTTAGGTGTTTCTTTTAAATCAGCATTTCTTTGGTCATCTTCAGGTAAAACAGCAGTCGAACAATTAGATTCGTCAGCCAGTTGCACCAATACCTCGTTCACTCTGTAGCAATTGACACGCATCTTCGTTCTCGTATGCGATATTAATGGTATCATTACATTCATTATTAAATTCAGATTGTAGTTCTCTGGCAATAATTTCATCTTGCTCGACTTGAGATTTAGACTTCTTTTCTGCGGGTTCTAAAAACTCATCTTCGGTTTCGGATTCGTGGTCAAAGTCTTCATTTTTCTTAAGATCATAATTACTGCAGAGATACAAAGTAATTATTTTATAATCTTTCCCACTCTCCTCCTTGTATCTCTTTGCAGTAAAAAACTCCTTCGTTCCCGGAAAAAAAGAGCTTCCTGGCCATCTTGGTAAACTAGAGAGTATTCTTCATCTTCATCGAATTCGTTGCTATGATATGCCTTCCACTTCTCAATTCCTTTCGATAGTACATCTGTATATGGTGCTTTATTCGATATTCTGAGAGCCACTCTTTTACCTCGAGCAGCTACTAATTTGCGTGCTTTTCTCTCCATTGAATCAGTCCAATGAAAATAACCACTTCTTCTGCTTTTTCGTTTTCTTTGACTTTAACTTATTAAACCATTCACTTCCTTTCAACTTTTTGTATTCACTGAATGATTTTACCGCGCTCTTACTACTCTTACCACTGTTCCTGGTGGACGAATTTCCCACGTTTGGATTCGAACTAGTTGATGTTGAACTGGTTGATGCTGATCTGGTTGATGCTGAACTGGTTGATGCTGAACTGGTTAACGGTGAATTGTACTGGTGGACGGTGAACATAAGCTTGAGTTCAACGTTTCTGGTAAGATAGTCAAAGTATGCATTACAAAATTGTGTCCACGGCATTTATCAGTTGGAAATAACTCCCTGCACGATTTACTACTGATGAAATATGGGTGAGGGGGGGGGGGGATGAGGGGTGTGTGAAATTTAAGTTGCCATGAACATCTTCCAACCCATTTGTATTGAAGGATCCCAACTTGAACTCTTCCGCCCCCTGTCTTGGCAGCCCTGACCTTATATATACGTGTTAGACAAAAAGGGATTTGCTTATACAGGGTGTATAAAAAACTGAACAGATTTGAAATTGCTCTCAATTTTGCAAAACAGCTATTAGTATCCATTTTTTGATATTTATTAGCTTCTTTGGGTAATTATAAAGTACAATAATGTAAACCAGGTGGTGTCTTTTCCACAAACTAAAAATGGCTTGCGCACACGATTTAAAAGCTTTAATCGTATTTCGAGTTAAGATGAAAAATGTTTGTTCATGAAAAATGTTAAGATGAAAAATGTTCAGTTTAAATTAAGCCTTTAGCTATTCATGCAAACTTACATTTATTCTCTAAAAAATCAGCCTTTTGCACTCTTAATTAATGCCTTTACCTAATTTGCATATGTTTGTACAGTAATTGATCATGAAAACCCAACAAATTTTCCATCCATTAACTCAAAATACGATTAAAGCTTTTAAATTTCGTGCGCAAGGCATTTTTAGTTCTTTGGAAAAGAAACACCCCCCCTCCTGGTTTACAAAATTTGAATATTTTTTCATTATTCTACATTATGGGTACCGGTACTCAAGGAATATATAACAAAAACTTGATACCACGAGTTGTTTTGCAAAATTGATAGCAATTTCAAATCGGTTTAGGTTTTTTTTAATACACCCTGTATATTCCAGGATTCAGTACAAATAATTATTAATAGTAATTATATGCAGTTTAGAAAACCAAACAAGTATGCACATGGTGAAACGTACACTAAAGGTAGCTCAATACAGTTTTTTTTTTTAATAAGACATTCAATTGTTACTAGTTCAAAAAGCATCTTAGTGCTGTAAAACAACATTCAAACACTCATTAATAATTTATAAGCTTATTGACAAATCATGTCAACCATAATATGTCACGTGCAGTGGCTTTAAACCTGATAAAACACTCCTAATTAGTATTCTTTATATAAAGAATACTAATAAGGCAGTATCTATTGTAGTCGTGTCCTCATTAGTATTTTTTATATAAAGAATACTAATAAGGCAGTATATCTATTGAATTTGTAGTCGTGTTTGAAGCCGTTTAATAAACGAGCAGGTCGTGTTTTATTAGGTCTAAAGCCACTCGCGCTGCGCGCTCGTGTCTTTAAACCTAATAAAACACTCCTGCTCGTTTATTAAACAATATATCTAAAGGGTTTAAAATATTTTTAAAAAGTTACACAACTGCTATGCCTATGGCAACAATAACGTTTCAAAATGGCGGACATATTTTGGCTTTAAAACTGATAATTTATCTCAAAAAAATGACCTTGATGACCCCAAGTTTTATTTCATAAAATGATTTCCCTCAGTACGTATATTCAAATATCTTGACAGTTTAAAAACAATTCTGTTTTTCTTTAAATTATTACGAATAATCACATTTGCATAATTTGGAAAATTTTTTATCACCAGAATTTTTTTTAAATTGTCAAAATAATTGTGATACTAATACTAAGAGAAATCATTTCGTGAAATAAAATTTAAGGCTCACTTTTAAGCCGAAATATCTGCTATATTGAAGTCACGCTCGTCCAAAAATACGGATCTAATCGCAATTGATTCCTATCCTGAATTTGTTGTGGGAGGATTTTTCCTTCCAAGTGCAAGTAAAGTTTTCAATTTTTCGACTAGGACTATTATTCTACAATGAAGTACTCTTGGATACTGTAATCTAAATACATATGAAGAAGTGGCATTTATCGGGCAGAGAATCGGCTAGCCATTAAAATGGCGGCATATTGGACGAAATATTGAAGGACACAATATCGAAGATAAAATACACTGCACTGCTCCCAAACTTGCCGAAACTTGGTTGAAATCTTCTTTAGCCATTTGCCATTATGTGAAAGTACAACAACTGGATGTTATTTGCGAGACACTGCGATATAAAGCAAACAAGACTGCAAAATATGGCTAGTGAAATCGTGTTTTCGTGGGGGGTATTAAGTGAAATAAAATATATTATATTTATAGAAAACAGTGACTATCCTTATGAAAACTACAATAATTATATTAAATTAAACATAGTTTTTCATCCCATGGTAATTTTTTTTAGGAAATAAGGATATTTAATTTCTGCCATGGATATTAGTTATTTTCTGCATAATCAGCAATTTACCTGGGGTGATGAATGGTCATTTTCTTGTAAAATATTATACTTACACAAATTTTCCTTCCAATAACCACCCCTAAAAGCAACCCTTCTAAACACTATAAGCACTTAGTTAGAATTTCATGTTAGTATATAATTTTTTGTAAATGTGAATTGGCTCCGAAAAGCCCCGTTGGGGAGAGTTCAATAAATTATTGTATTGTATTGTAAGCACTTCAGAAAGGCTGTCGCTTTTGCTTTTCGGAAGTTAGAGCTATGTCGGCACTGCCGTTTCAGGGCGGGGTCATTTTCTGGACTTTCGTTTCGGATTCAGGTTTTGGCACACATGCCATGTTGACCGCCATGGTCATTTTACCCTAAAACAGTTGAGATTACCTGTGGTAAATGAAACGCATACAAACTCATATACAGGTCCTAGACTATTACTGATATTGTGCAGAATTTAAAGTTTTTTGAGCAAAAAGCGGTATTGTTCTGGCAAATGTTTCGAGTTGTTATCGGCGTCTTTCGTGCATGCAGTGTGCCAAGACTCTAATGTCGATCTGTGTCGATAGTTGCACTTGTCAATTATTTTTCCGTTTTTAAAATCAATTCTGTGGTCGTTTGCCCACACATGGTTCGCGATATTAGAGCCACTCTTCCATTTTCCCCTGCCTGTCTTGCCAACGTAACTCCACGAGCAATCCAGCTGAACAATTAATTTGGTAGACTACGTTCGTCTGGTTGTCAAGTAGTGGTCGGTCTTTTGTTGTGGGAAACATTTGTTCTAGTGTGCGGAGAAGTTTCGTAGTTACTTGGATGTGGTGAGGTTTCAGACTAACATGTTCTGTTAGTCTTTTGACGTACAGTAGTACGGCGTAACTGCAATTGGTCTTCGGTTCCACTAAGTCAAAAAACGATCTTCAGTTCTTCGGGTGGCGGCGTTCTGTTCTCAAACATGACATGTTTCTGTTCAACTTGTTGCAAAAATTTCTTAGGGTAACCGTTTGACATTAATGTATTGGTTACATGTTTGCGTTCTTGTTGTTTGCCTTCGTCTGTGTTTGGTAAAGTTGCTGCCCTATGTAAGAGAGTTTGTGCAGTGCTGACTTTGTGTCGTTTGTCATGGTGTGAGTTGTAGTTAAAGTGTCTAACAATGAAAGTTTTCCGTCAAGTTCCTGTTCAGTGGTAATGTTAATATATGGGTCGATAGTGTTAAGTTATTTGTAGAAATTGGTTAACGCATGTTTTTTAATGATAGAAAATACATCATCGACATAACGAAACCATTTCTTAGGTTGCATAGAACATGTACTTAGTGCTGAGTCCTCAATTTTTTCCATGCAGAGGTTTGCCACAATAGGGCTAACAGGACTACCCATTGCACAACCATGTATTTGTTTGTACGTTATCTTGCTGTTATTGAAATAGCTATTAGTAAGAGTAAAACATCAAAGTTTAATAATATCTTCAATAGAAAGTTTGGTTCTAACGTGTAGGGTTTTGTCTTTCGTGAGTTTGTTGCGGATGTGTAAGCATGCTTTATCAACTGATATTGCTGTAAACGATACAACGTCAAAAGACACCATGATTTCATCATCGTCAATGTGCGTTTCAGTAAGTTTCTTGGCGAAGTCAGTAGAGTTGTTAACAGAGTAACCATTGTGTTTTTGTAGAGGTGAAAGAATATTTACGAGAAATTTAGAGGTGTTGTAAAGAGCTGTGTTCCTACATGTAACTATGAGACGGAGTGGATTGTTAGGTTTGTGATGTTTGACAGAGCCTCGTATGGCAGGTGGTATGCTGTCAGTAGAGTGTAGTTTTTTGTATCTCATTAATAATTCTCACTCATTAATAATTCATAAGCTTATTGGCAAATCATGTCAACCATAATATGTCACGTGCAGTGGTTTTAAACCTGATAAACACTCCTAATTAGTATTCTTTATATAAAGAATACTAATAGGGCAGTATCTATTGTAGTCGTGTCCACATTAGTATTCTTTATATAAAGAATATTAATAAGGCAGTATATTGAATTTGTAGTCGTGTTCCTGCTCGTTTATTAAACAGTACTACATCATCACCTAAGCGATTTTCGAAATGGCGACCGAAGCTGTTTTGTCAATTAAATGACGAAGAAATGTATATTTTTAATTTTTTCCTAATAAATCACCTATAAAATTATACTAAAACAATTATTCACCTCAGGCTCGGTGATTATCGTGAATAAAAACCTCGACTTCGTCTCGGTTTTTATTCACCGATAACCACCTCACCTTCGGCGAATAATTGTTAATTATACTGTAACTCACAAAAACAAGTACAGTAAGTTAGAGAAACATGATAAATTCAGACTCGTTTAATTCGGTTTAGTAGAAAACAGTTAAGAATTTTTTTAATGAATGTAGACTATTCAGAGCTTTTTATTGAAGAAGGTAATGAATCCAAATTCTTAGGGCCTTGATAAAGAATCGTGAATTGCTTTATGTTTGTATGGCAAGAGTGAGGTCGATAAGAATTTGCGTTTCTAGAAAAGTAACTATATACTTGTTTATTTGTTACGAATAAATTTGATAGAGATGTTGGCAGAAACCGACGATGATAGAGAAACATAAACTTCGCAATATGAAAGCTGTTGACTTTAAAACTGCCTAAAACTTTCAATTGTGCAAATAACGGGGCAGAATCTGAATGAGATCGGTACTCCGAATTTGTCATGACACGTACTGCTCGTTTTTGAAGTAGTCAGATCCGAGTTACAATAGCTAATATAAGGATAAATTAAGGTATAACATAATGAAAGTTTTGTCCAAGTAGACAAGACAAAACGTGATCTAGAGATAATTTCAATAGACTTAGATATTTTGTTGCATACATGATCAATGTAATGTTTCCAGGAAATATTTTCATTGATAAAAATGCCTAAAAATTTAACAACGTTAAGTCTCTTAAGCGGCTTTGTATCAAATAAAATTGGCGAGTTCATCGTGATTGACATTTGTTTTGGTCTGAAAAGAATGTAGTTTGTTTTACTAATATTGAGAGAAAGTGTGTTAGTTTTCATCCAAACATTTATTTTTTCTAGTTCTGCATTCATCGTAGAAATCAAATATCCTTGGTCAGTGTGGCTTAAGAAAACGCTGGTATCATCTGCAACGAGGGGCATTTCACTTCAAAAATCCCGTACACTTCGTCAAAAAATCCGGGGGAAAATCCGAACAAATCCGGAAAATCCAACAGATTTTCTCTTCAAAAATCCGCTAAAAAATCCGCGGATTTTTAAAAATCCGAAAATCCCGTACGCTTCGTAAAAAAAATCCGAACAAATCCGGAAAATCCAACAGATTTTCTCTTCAAAAATCCGCTAAAAAATCCAGGAAAAATCCGCGGATTTTTAAAAATCCGAAAATCCCGTACGTTTTTTTGGAGTGAAATGCCCCTCGATCTGCAAAAAGAAAACACTCTACCAACTCCGTAGCATTAGGGAGATAATTTATATAAAGTAGGAAAAATAAAGGGCCTAATAATGAACCCTGAGAAACCCCGCACTTAATAATCCGTCCGGTGGAATGGGTCTCATTGAACTGCACAATTTGTTTCCGATTAGAAAAATAGCTTTTGATCCATTGCAATGTTATGCCACGGATACCATATAATGTTCCAGCTTAGAGAACAAAATTTGATGATCAAGGGTATCAAATGCTTTTGACAGATCTAGGGAGGTACCGATGGTAATTTCACTTTGATCAATAGATGTTGCAATTTTATTCATAAGGTAGATAAGTGAAGAGACTGTGGAATGATTTTTTTCGAAATCCATATTGGAGAGGAGAGAGAATTTCGAATTGATTCACGAAATCAATAATGCAATCGATTATATGCATGACTTTTTCAAAAATTTTCAATTGATAGCGAGATTGGTCTTAATTTGTAAAATTTTCAGGATTATCGGTCTTAAATACAGGAATTACCTTAGCTATTTTTAGTAAATCAGGGTGAATGCCAATTGAAAGCGAAAGATTGATAATTTGGGTAAGAGGTTGAGCTATAAATTCAAATGATTTTTTTATTACATTCATGGCTATATTATAAGAACCAGCTGTTTTATACATTTATAAAATAGGAATCTATTTAAGAACCTGAGTTTAGCTTAATTTCCTGGTAAGCACCATGGGCCGGTTGTACGAAAGGCGTTTAAGTCGCTATCCACCGTTTAACTCGCTATCCGCCGGATAAAATTAGCGTTATCCACCGGTTAAATTTTGCCTATCCACCGTGTAAACTTAAAACTTAAGGAGGCTCCCTACAGTTCCATGCGGGATGTTTGCGGGACAAGTACGTGAACTATCCCACGCAACTGCATGATCAAAACAAAACAAAAATTGACAATGGAAAAAAGCGTTGAATAATACTTCGTTTTGAGTGCGAAATCACTTGCGAGTCTATACAGCAATTCTACATATGATACGAGTATCAGTAGACCAAAAAATAGCTACGAAACAATATTTTTAAATTTTTTTATACACTGTCCGCTGACTCAACTGTATTAAAACATTTGCAAAATTGCATACAAACGTTTAGAAAGTTGTTTACTTCTCAAGAAAACGTTCACGTTTTTAGTCGTGTTTCTACAAGATTAAAGTGATTACATGTAAACAGAAAAATATTTCAGTTTCATACCCTAATTGTTCATTTTTAGCAAAAAGTACAAAACCAAACATGAAACAAAAAAACACGTCCACCTGTTAATAGGATGTTACAGCTCATAGATTGAGTAAACGGCAGGATTCAATTAGCTTCAACCTTGTTTTCATCGATTTAATGCTTGACAATAATCCTTGGCTGTCCATAGCACTCAAATAAATCGAAAAGTTGACAAAAACAAAACAGTAAAAACAACATTGCGGCTCGATTTTGCTGAATGAAAACTCGTTCTGCGCCCGCGTACAATCTTTTACTAGTCAGCGACGCTTTTCAATAGGGGAATTTCTCGAGTTACACGAGGCTATTTTCTAACTTTATTTGCATTTTACTCATTAGTTTCATCGGTGACCTATCTTCAAATTTTGACCACGAATTTATTTTGCGGTAAATTTTATAAATTTCAAATTTTAAAAAATCTGTAGTGTGGAAATTTCGCAATAAAATTTTCGCTTTTAAAAAAATCACACACTACAGAATTTTTTTAAACTTTCACCACAGTTGCAGAGCATCATTCCTTATTGATATATGAAATAAAAAAGATAGGTCACCGACATCGTTTTTGAGATAGCGGCACATTTATGGGTTAAATTGGAAGGCTTTATGCTGTCGTCATGTTGCCATGGGAACATTGACATCGTCGAAATCTAGTTCAAAATATTCCTTAGGTGACCAATATTGCCACCAAGTCGAAAAGAATTCGCGTTCTGCACGAATAAGCCTGTTTTACGGAATTATTGCTTAAACAAGAATAACTGTAGGGAGCCACCTTAAACGGTCTCTTGAGACCGTTTAAATCGCTATACAGCGGGTAAACTCGGAGTTTGAAGATAAAACAATGATTATTTCGGATGAAAAAGCATGGGATAGTTATAAAAATGCACAATCATGTAGAGGAGTTATCTTTTTAAATCCAATAAACATGGAAACTCACTTTTAACTGGCTTGATCTTGAGGTACACTGAGGTAACTTGCTCACTTGTAATTCCGTGGCTTTGCTATATTTACGCACGCCAGTGTCAGTGTTTAGACGTATACTCTGACTTTTTCTCCTTCTTTTCTTCTATTATATAGTTTGAAAACAAGCAGTAAGACTCCCAATTTTAGCTATTTTAAAACAACAATAACTTTGGAAAGCCAACAAGTATACAAAATAGACAACAAGACGCCGAAAGTCGAAAAAAGTTTGTTCGCTCGCGTTAATCGCTTTGATCAGCCAATCAAAACGTGGGACAAAATGTTCTTAAAATTGTTTTGAACAAAAGTGCATGGTCGAGGAACAAATTTCAAACAGTATAAAACTGAATCAACTGACAAAAGCCAAACACAACTCACAGTTTTCGCTATTGGCTTCGACTCTTCGCATAAAGAAGCCAAAAATCTTTAAAGAAATATCCGTAAAAGTGAATTTATTAATAAGTGAATGAGAAACTCAGCACAATGTGAAAAAGAAAAGTTTGATATAGATTTGCAGCAATGAATGGACGAGCAAACTCCAAATAAAAACAACAACAAACTTTATTGCAAAAGCTTAGTGGAATTCACAAGTTAGATAAAGCTTCAAAAGTTTACAAAGGCCTAGCAACAGCTGACGTAGAGGTAAGAAATTTCAAGAAAATCCGGTTTTCTCCGGTTAAATTAAAGGTTATCCTACGGATAGTTAAACGCGGTACTAAACGGGCTTCGTACAACGCAATTTTATCGGCCGTTTAACTATCCGCTGGATGAGAAATTTATACGCTGGTTAGCGGCTAAACACCGTTTAAGTTAAACGGCTTTCGTACAACCGGCCCCATATACATAAGAACCTGTTTAGGCTAACTTGGAAAATCTAGGTTCTTATATGCGGGTTTTACTGTAACATCATGTTCTAAAGCTTGTATCAAATCTTCAACCTTGGCTTGCTCATATTGACAGGTTGTCCAACTGGCTCAGGACCTCATCCTTAAATAAAAAAGATTTCTTCATCGTTTAATTAAGTGTAATTGTGAGTAGTTATATACAAAGCGGACTCAACCAAATTCAGCCGGTTTTCGCCAGGTATTCTGGTTTTCTCCACTGGATCAATAAGGGATGATTCTTACTGGACCTCTTTGTGTAGCACAGCTAGAACTAGAGTTACCCAGTCTAAACAAAGCTAGTTTATGGCAGTCTTGACACTTACACAGAGTATTTCATTCAAATCAATACACCACAGGACATTCCCATCTTTATCACTTACTTTGACTTCGTGATTACAAAACTTCTCTCTCATTTCTTCGGCTAGATCAGGTCTGTTTATAATATCATCTTCTAAAGCTTGTATCAAGTCTTCAACTTTAGGATTCCTTGTCTTTCGTCGCCATCTTTGCAAAACATCCATACAGCTTCTCTCAACACCTTCAAAATTCTGACTGGACATATCTATTTCACATTCTGGCACGCCAAGAACGCGAGCGTAGTTTCGAAACGACGCTGCAATGCGGGGTGCAAGCCACAACAAAACACGGCAATCCAACTCGTCTTCTTTCAAAAGAGCACGAATGACATCACACCGTCCAACGGTTTCATCTTCCAAGCATAAACGAATTTTGTCCCACGTTGGTTTCTTTCCAAGCTTTATTTCGGCATTTCTCCACGAGTTAAGGATTTCAATGTTTCGTCTTTCTGGCAGGGGTTCGCCTTGTTTAATAGCTTCGATTTCAACCGCGTCAACTTCTAACAGCATTGCAACTTTTTCGACATCCTTGCTTAGATGTCGCGCCAACCACGATACGTGCCGTTCACAAACTTCATCATCGAAACCCGTTATTTCTGTTTGAAAAAAGAAAACACTGATACCGTAAACTTCCGAATATAAGACCACCCGTGTATAAGCCCACCATATTCACTAAAGGCCATGTTACACGGTGCAATTTTTCTTGCAACTTGCAATGCAATTCTACTCTTGAGAGATGTAAAATTGCCAAATACGAGTCTTCATTACACTCCGCTCATAGAGATTATAAATAACACTAGAGGAGGCATTGTAATCTTAATTCAGTAAAAAAAAAGGGAACGCGACTATTGGGGGGCAAATTCAAGTCCCGGATGTGTATTCGTGTACTCATTGGTGACGACTTTCAAATTAGCCAATGAGAGCACGATTTTATATCCGAGACTTGAATTTGCCCCCCATTAGCTGCGTTCCCAATTTTTAAACTCGATGCCTCCTCTAGTGTTATTTATAATCTCTATGACTCCGCTGATGTTTTCTCAACATATCGAAAATTCTTCACTGATTTCACCAATTTTAATTAGATGTTAAAACATCTCTCAAGAGTAGAATTGCATTGCAAGTTGCAAGAAAAATTGCACCGTGTAACATGACCTTAACGCTCAGGCATGTTAGACAAAAGTCTTAGTTAAGACCATAGATAAACTACAGTAAATTAGGCTAAATTTATTTATTTAGGATACCTTTACCAGTTCTAAACTGTTCTCTCCATAGGTCTTCTAAGATCTCCTGTTGCTCCAGTGTTACTATACGGGCGGAAACCTAAACTAAACTAATATATTTATTTATTAGTTTAGTTTAGGTTTCCCTGGAGGCCCAGTAAAGATAATCTCTTATCGATCCAGTGTTATTACAGGAGGAAACCTAAACTAAACTAACTTTATTTATACTGGATAGCTCTATCACTAGCTCTAAACTGTTCTTCCTAGAGATCCAAAAAGGATTATCTCTTATTGGTCCAGTGTTGCTACAGGAGAAAACCTAAACTAAACTAACTTTATTTATACTGGCACTAAAAAATCATTTTCAGTTCTACAAAGGTTCGTGTAGAATGTGAAAGAGCCAAATCACATTTTCACAATTACAAGAATTCAATTCAATACAATTGAAAAGTGCATGTAATGACCAGGCCTTAAAAATCGGTCAGAGAACCGTCTGACAAAATGTTCGATGACTTTGAGTGGGACATATGTATTGTCCCTGGAACTCCTTTAGAAGTTTGGCACGCCTAAGCCGCCTTTCATTCGCCAAGACAAAAATATTTCTTTCCTGCAAGCATGTTATTATGAAACTATATATTGTATGCTGTCATAGATAGTCGTAACTGCAGGTGCTGTCAAGGCCGCCCATAGAGGTGGAGGGGCAATTTGCCCTGTGGTCCCAGTTAAAGGGGGGCCCAAATAAAAAAAATACAGTGAAATATGAATACAAACCATAGTCTATCAAGATATGATGGTCTGGAAACTCAACAGAAGTCATTGTATTATGTTTTTATCTGAGTTTATATTAATTCGTGCACGGTCAAGGTGATTGAGCTTATTGTATTTTTGTATAATGAAGTAATCATCCAATAGGGATAGCTGAGATGAAACGTGCAACGACGATGAATAATATTTAATGAAGTTGAGAGAAAGGATTTGTGCACGGTGAGGTACAATTCAACATCAAACAAAGCTCTTCTATTTTGTAGCTTTGAAGTTTGCCGGGATTCAAGACCATCATATCTTGACAGACTGTACAAACGCAGATAAAAACATGACTTCCTGGCGGAGGTAATAATAGTGATGATTATTATATTATTGATTCATACCGTTCATAGATCCTTTGGGATAGGAGTCTCCTGTCGATTGAGAACCTGCGAGTAATTTAAAACCACATATTACAACAAAAAAATGATTAAAAACATAGATACATGAGAGAAAATTATCTACAACGCTTATGACTAAAACGTCCTATGGCCTGTAATCAAGAACAGGCCAACTGATCGGTTCCCTTGATACCTCTTTAAAGAGCCATAGAAATAACGCAACAACTTAAAGTCCCGTACAAAAGAACATTAAAGCTTAGGCACTACCAGCTTTTATGAATTATATTCAATAAAAATGCTGCAAAAAATTCTGATGAAAACACACACGGTACCTACAAAGTGTGCCGAGAAATATATGGTCTTCCAAAATCGGAAATGTAAATTGCAAACAAATGTGAATGTATAGTCAAAGTCTAACCGTAACAAAACAATTACCTGAGCTTGAAGCTTCACTTGAGGTTTCATTTGGCCATCTAAAGTTCGAGCTGTCTTCTACCATAGCTGTATCAGGCACTTGAAAAAAACGGATGAAACAATTAAACATATAGGGGGATATATGGCTGCACGAATTAAGATATGCATTCTATTTCGAGTAGTGCAAATAATACTTTACGAATAAGCGTATAGTGAATGAGTAAAATATTGCTTTCACCACAAGAATATAAAACCTTATCAGGAGATACTTTACCATCATTTAATTTGTTTACCTGTACTTTAATTCTTACTTATATGCCTATTATAATTGTCAACTACAACTTTACCCATTCTGATGTTGTGTAGGCTGCGAGCGGCTCTCTTTGACAACATTGGGTCCGACAGGCGACGAGACAAAACGTTTGTCTTACTAAATCTGTATTATATTAGGGAGCCGTATTATATTAGGGAGCTTAAGGTGGAGTAATACGGGCAACAAAATTGCTGCAACTTGCAACAAAATCTGATTTCTACGCATGTTAATTGAAAATGTTTACACATACATTACAAATCACGCGGCAACATGTGTCGACATTCCTACTTAACATGCCTTGAAATCAGATTTTGTTGCAAGTTGCAGCAATTTTGTTGCTCGTATTACTCCAGCTTTAGGGAAAGGACGTTTTTGTCAACACGGACGTCAGATTGCCGAGGGGGGACTGGATTAAAAACTGTGTTTGTATCAGTTTGTCTGTTTGTGGTAATCTTCAACACATATCACAAAACGTAAGGTTTTTAAACTTTTTTGCTTCCTTAAGCGCTGGGTAAACTAGGAAACATTGTTGCGGAAACATTTGTGATTCTCGATGTTTCCTCAAATGTTTCCACGTTTGCCCATCCGTGGAAACATTGTTGCGGAAACAAAACTTGCTTCCCGGGAAGCAAAATGTTTCCTACCAACTTCAGAAACATTTGATGTTTCCCTATGTTTCTCACCAATGTTTCCTAGTGTTTGCCCACTCTGGGAAACATGGCGAAACATTGGCAGGAAACAATGTTTCGTAGTTTGCCCAGGGCTTTACATGAGCGCTATGATGCAAAACGCCTCCAATATTAGTGATACCAATTTTCAGATGACGTCCGTCCGTGTTGACAGAAACGTTGCTTGCTTCAGCTCACTAATCCCTCGATAGTCCTAACCCAGGCTTGGTCCTAACCACAGCAAAGATAATTGTCAACTAACGATTTCAAAACTGGCAAAGTAAAAACGCCTTTAGCATTAGCCACTTACCAGTATTGAGCCAAATTTTTACACTCTTTATGTCAAACACCTTGGACAAGCGTTTGTCCGACCGGCAAACTGCAGGGGATTTATCGTTGTAGAATCTCTGAAGGTCACTAAGCTTCCAGAAGTGGCGGTGCCCACAACGGTCTGAATGACACTGGATCTTATGATGACGAGAACATTTTGTTTCTTCTTTACCAAAGCAGCAGGTACATTCCACTTCGAGGTCATAGCTGGTCATGCTAAATAATAGTTGGTCTGGAGATTTTAGATCGTCCAAGCACTTTTTCAAGGTGGCTAGGAGATGACTGGCAAACTTGAAATGGTTGCCATCCTGTTTAGGAAAAACGGAGACCTTAATGAACTCGTGGAAGTCGATTAAATAAACATCATACACGTCGCCGTCTATAATAAGTGGAAGCAAGGAATAGTTGCAGTAGAAAGAAGGCGTGGCTTGTTGATTGGGGAAGCGCTTTTCCCACTCAGAAATTAATTTCACTTGAAGCTTCGTAAACAGGCTCATCGGCACAAGTTGGCGAGGAAATGTCAGAAACAGCGATGGAACGCTTAACTCCATTTTGCTAGCTTCCAACTCCATACCTAGTATCATAGCTGGGGCAACTGAAGGGACACAAAAAGCTGCCTTTCCCTCGTGCTGGCAAGGACAAATCAAACTGAACTTTTGCATAAGCTCTTTTAAAAGTTCGGCGTCTTCCAGCGTCTCAAGATATTCTTGAAACATAATGCCTTTCTGCTTGAACACATCAAGAGCGTGCCTGGACAAGGCATCCAATTTGCCAGGCATGGAGATCACTTTCGTAAAGCGATTCATTAACCAGGGAGGATCCAACACAACCTTGCTGGCTCCACTGTGGTGTACGACCACACCTTGGCGGTGTAGAAATTTGATAGCATGATCAAACTCCCCAACGCCACAGGCTTCCGCTTCCTGCTTAGCTTTGTCAACTGGGATATACTTGCTATTTGGTGATAGCTTCTGGCTTAGAGCAGCTTCAAAATCTAGCCACTTCATAGGCATTAAAGTCTCCCGGTCAACCACTGCATTCGAGAGGTCAAAAAGCTTTCTACGAAGCTTTCGCACGTCGTCTCCATCGTCGCCTTCCAATGTATTGTCGATCACGAAAAACTCTGGGAGAACATTTTCATATTTTCCTCCAGATAAGACCTTGTTGATTCTCTTCTGTACGCAATCTATTTTGCTGTCGTTGTCTTTTACCTCATCACTGTGAGTTAAGGCTATTAAAACTGGTGGCAGTTTAAAGTTCTCACCCTTTGCAGTGGTAAAGTGACCAGATTTATCAGGAAACTGTTGATCTTGGCATTCTCCTAAACCTTGAAGGAACTTCAACCATGATGTAAAATTATCTAAATTGCTAGTACGATAAGGATTGTTCATCTTTATTTCTTCCTCTTCATAACTTGCTTTAAACCTGGGAACGGCGGGTTTATCAAACTCCAGAGAAAGGTCGTGAACCAAAACATAAGGGCAATGCGGTTTTACAAAGCAGCCATGGGTATCGTAATAGATTGACTGTCCAGCAAAGTCACTTACAAATACCCGAAGAACTTCGTTCTGGTCGTGTTCAGTGGACCTCTGCGATTTGATTTTGGAGATTTCTTCTCTTAATAATGGCTTCAATGGCTCTGGCGCATCTTCTTCTGAATTCATATGAACTCCTCTATCAAGGTACTCGGCAGTTTTTTTGTATAACACAGTCTTTGCCTCACTTTCACTGGTCATAAACTTCTTCACTTCTCTCTTTTTCCAGGGATCTTCCGCATTTTGTTCTGATAGCTCGATAACATTAACGTCAATACCAGCGGTGCTGGGTTGATCTTTGTCGAATGGTAATCCTAAAAGACGTCTCATCAGCGAAGTCTTCCCGCCTCGGTCTTGCCCAACCACCATAATCGGAATTCGATTATTTTTTGCTTTACTTTCTTGGAGAGCTTGCGAATATGCACGCCTATATTCTTCCTCTTCAATATCTTGACAAAATAAAGTTAAAACAAGATTTAGCACAACGTAAAATCATGAAATATAACCTCTATCAAATCACTCTGTATGTTGTACTGCTGCGTTTTGCGACAATTACAAGTATAGAACTCTAGGCTCTGTGCTGCTAGAATCTCATAAGATGGAAACACCGCACGAATAATTGTACTGTTGCTTGAATATATTTGAGCTACCGTCTTGCTGAATACCTTTGTACAAAGCGCGCAAACCTGTGCAACTGCTGCAACATAGTCAAATTGCAAAGCATTCACATAACTAGAATTTGGAAGATGCCCAGAAACCCGAGTTATATTCTACCAAATCACCTTTACTCCCTTCAGAAATTATGTAAAATATGGTGAAAAAGAGTAATCTAAAATCGACAGTATAAGTATTTATCGTATCGAGCCGAATGCAAGAGTTTGTATATCTGACACAACACGATCGCTAATGTTGTAAATGGCTTGTGAAACGTCTTGATGAGAATATTCGTATTCTTCAACAATTTAAAATAAATTAATGATATTTGGTGAAAAAATTAAACTTGAAGTTTATGTAAATCAGCATGATTTTGTATTTGATATACAAACTCCTACACGCTCATCATTTCTTTTGTGTTTTCTTCATGAATTATTAACGAGTTTTACAACAACATTTACAATCCAAGAAAATAAGACAACTTTATATACTGTACAACCTCAATCTAAACTTGTTCTTTGTTAAAAACTCTCCTACCTTTTCCAACGATCGCAGTTTCTGTAGTTCCATCGGCCAGCTTCGTTGTATCACCCACATCATTTTCCAAGGTATCCATTTTCTCTTCACCATCTTTGCGTTTACGAGTGAACGAGCCCAAATCATCAACTTTTCCTTTACTCCCCTCTGGGTGGCTGTTGTCTTCGTTTTTCGGGCTGTTGCTTTTAGCTAGATCTTTAATACGTTTTAATAGACCTGATAAACTCCGTCCTGACGGCGCATCTTTTGAGGTATGCATCTTTCTATTTCCACGCCCTTTTTGACGAGGTGTTTTTGTCGCTTCAGTAGTACCAGGCTTTTCATCATTTGGCTTCACTGTTGAGCCGGTTGGCTTTGGTTTGGACCCAATAGGCTTATCCTCACTCCCTTCATTCTCTTCTACATCTTTCTCGATCGAACAAGGAAAGTACCGGAGCATTAACTCTTGATAAATATCCAGGTTTTCTTGTGAAAATACGCAAAAAATTATACGACCAACCTAGGATTGAAGCAAGCATTTTAATCTTTTCCCTTTGTTTATCGATTTTCTCAGTCATTGATGAGCAGATTTCCCAAACGGGATCCCGGATACCTACGATTCTACAAACTTCCTTATCCGAGAAGACGCGAAAGTCTAACCATTTACTGATGGTAAAGGTAGCACTTTCTCTTCAGTTATTTTAAGACCTTGAGTAGAGGTCCGACCATGGCTTGAATCCGGGTCTCCCATGCAGCATGAAAGGCAAGCATGGTGATCACCTGGCACCACAAAAGCTGGTTACTGTTGAATTGACAAGTCAAAGACTTGTTCTTTCAAGTTCAAAATATGTTACGCTTAAGCTTTTCCTTTATTGGGCGAGAAGTTAAACAGCTCGTCAGGTTTTTTGCGATATTGCCCACTTACATGCACGTGAATAATCAAACAATTTTATTACATACCCAATCATCATTTTCTTCCAACCACATTTTAACTGTTTTCAACGCAACATGAGCAGCCTTTATGTTTGGGTAGTCTAGAAACAATTTTTAAACTAACCTTACAGTACTTTAACTGTATCAATGTTTTTATAATTGTTCTTCCTAGAGGTCTAGTAAAGTCCAAAGAGATAAAGTTTTCATATGGAAAATGTTTTCTTGCTTGACTCAGATGCCACCTAGCGCAATGTGAGACCTCGCCTAGTCAGGCTAACTCGTTTCTCATACGAACACAAATTGAATTTCATCTGCGTTAACAAAGGGCATGCAGATCTCAGTCGGGTGAGTTTCCCGATCAACTTCGTTCCCAGGGTCTCTCCTTCTGTCATGTGGGAGAGACCCTGGCTGCGGCTGGTCACGTGCCTCCCAGATTTTGGGAGGTAAATTTAATTGTAACTGTGAGAGGGGTGGGAAAGGAGCGTGTTTGTAGCGTTTTAAAATTGCAACTTTGGGTGATGAAATATCATCATTTAAAGAACGATATCATCATTTAAAGAACTTGCCAAACTTTTTCACAAACATTTTTATTTATAATAACCAAATTCACCAATACAACACTCGAAACTCAACTAAACTTCATAAGTCTTATCAGAGAACTAACTACGTCAAGCACTCGCTTTCAGTGAAAGGGGTGGACGTTTGAAATAATCTTGACAGTAATTTAAAAATAATAACATCACGTCCCATTTTTAAGAAAAAATCCAAAATACACTTTCTATGTAATTAATCTTATAAAACACTTTAACTGTAATTTCTCTTCATGTAAATAGATATTTAACTCAAGCTTCTCATTTTAATTATTAATAGTAAATACTCTCCTACAAATATTGAATGTAACATAACCTCACTTTTTGTAAATACTTATAGAACCGATGACAATTTAACTATATATATATATATATATATATATATTAAGCACCAAGACCTCAAACTAGGGGTCTAAATCCAAAAGCCTGTTCAAGGTTTCTATAGACTCCTAGTCCAAATGTATCTACTTTATTTTATTTTTTTATTAACATAATGGTATATCACATGGGCAAATCATTAAATAAAAAAAAATTTAAATGAATAAAGTTCAAAATGCTGTTGTTGACATTTGCTATTTTTAGTTATTTTGTCAACGAGTGTAAGCCAATCAGAAGCCCCCGTTTCTATACGAATGCTACTACCAAGAAATCCTATAGTTCCGTGCAGGCCCTCCTTTCTTCGCGCCGCCCGTAACCCAGGAGAGCCTGTTCGCAGGCTAGCTACGCTCATATGAACACGCCTTAATTTAAGTCCTCACCATTGCAATGAATATAACTGGAACGCTACCTTCAGATAAACTGCCTATCTTTTTCTTGAAGCCAAATCTTGATCCCCAGGCACACGTGTTTATATCATGATTGACTGACTGAGCGCTCTTCGCATGCGTGAAAAGACTGGGACTGGCCTTCAAGTTTGGCTTCAAATTTCCAGTTGGAGGTAGCGTTCCAGTTATATTCATTTCAATTATCCTCACCGTAAAATATTCCAGTAGATATACAGCAAAATGCCTGAAGAAGAAAAAATATGATCATTGCATTAAAACGCTTTATCAGGGAAAGAGTGAAATACTGTATTCTATCTACAATATACAGTAAGTACGTCCACTATCTACAATACTGTAGTAATCCCCGTAATATTCTCAACCTCGTTCCCAGGCTCTTTGCTCTTGGGAAGCAAAGACCCTGGTCGGAGCTGGTCACGTGATCCATTGAAAATTGATAGCCCAAGAGGGGGGTGGAAAAGTCTCATATTACATGTTTCCACTTCCGCACTTCGATTGCAAGGAGTGGCCGTTCTGTACAATCATTAATTCATGATATTCATCTTCAAGAATCATATATACCTCAAACTACTTGCTAAATTGGTTTCTGTTTGCTTTTAAATTATACAAACATGCTAAAATGCAGATTCTTATGGCAACAGAAAATTCAGGAAATCAAGCAACGAGAACATATCACTGTACGCTTTGAAATATTTTTATTTTCTCGGGGTTCGCCGGTTCGGGCGTAGTTTTATTTCACGCATACGTTTCTGTTGTGGCTCTGATATTTATAATATGCTTATAATATGCCAATGAATTGTTCTGATATGGACATGGTATAAATTTTGTTAATTAAACAGATGTCTCGAAAGCGACTGTTTATAGGTCGTAGGATTAGCGCCTTGCCGGTCTTAAACGTGACACATTTGGACACAAGCCAAATACACATTGTGAATGTCCATTCTATTGATTCTAAAACTGTTTATAGACATATTGCTCTAGATTTTTTTTTTAAATGGCTATCATCGCTTATATTAAACACCAGGAAGACAAAATATAACGTACAAAATTGTTTGAAATCGACAGTGCACAGCTGACATACGACTCGGCAATTCATAACTGCAAGAATTTCCTTTTTTGTCTGCATGCACGAGTACCTGACAAGTGCTTGTTGAAGCCAAAATATTGCACAGCATCTCCTATAAATTCTATCGCCATTTACCCTCTCCCCTTAAATGCAAAGGAATGACAGCCGAAAAGGTTTAGCAAAGTATTTTTTATTATATCTGGTATAAAGTGTCCTACGTTTTATCAGGGACATACATAATTCATAAACTGTATATGCACACGAAGTCTCGCTTATATTAATGAGTTTTACTGTAGCAAACCTTTTAAAGTTTCCATTGATAGATAGGTTGTTTGCCTCCAGTACTGTTTGGTAAAACAGACTAAACTTCTAAAATGTCGATTCCAGTATACGATAAAGATTAAAGTTGATTTAAATATTGATAACTCACAGCGGCATTAATCCATTAATGATACAAGTCTAAAGAAGCTGGATTATTCTTCAATAAAGCCCTCAATGGACAATGCCAATGTCAATGAAAGGTCTAATATTATACACGTTGGAAATTACTGTATATACAAAATATGAAATAATTTATATAAAGTACAATACCAGTGTCTCGTGCATATATCGTCCTAGATATTCAAGTTGTACCGCACGCACGGAAACGCATGTACGGAGTCTTGGCGTTTGTGTGATAACAGATAGCTAGCTACACTTCGACATTATCTTTCTTGATCGTTGAGTTTCAGCAATGTAAATTAATGAAATGAATTTTATAGCCAGTCCATAACGGGTTTTAAT